CCCGATAAAACGGTCGTAACTTTCGGACAGCTTAGGAAGGCACAAAATGTCATAGACTCGTGCAAAATCGTCGACGGCGAACTTTCAATGATTCTGGTATTATCACAGTCTACTGAAGGTCAGCGTGAGCTTAGTATTCAAGCGCCATGGACGCAGATGACGTCCGTGAACCTTCCGTCGAAGCTATCACTTGCAAATTTACGCAGTCTTGATTACCACGGCAGTCTTGTCAACCGGGATATTGGCATTAGTAGAGCTGTAACTCCCGCGATCGGAGAGATTGCCGGTCTACGCCACCCCAAACTACGTGGTGTTGTAGACGTTCTAGACGAAGATACCCAGCAGTATCATCAAATACGTATCCAACTCCAACCCACATCTCCGCGAGTTTCGAAAGTCTTAAAGGTCCTGCGAACAGCTCTTCCAACCTCTTCCGGTGAACGATTAGTTTCCAACTGGTGGGAGATTATTGCATGGCTTCGGCAACAAGAGACCGATGTTATCGATATCGAATGGTCCGCTGTTGTTATTCAAATCTTCTCTATATTTCTTGCGCTTGATTTCGACGAGGCTACGTTACCAGCTGATAACACACCTCGAAGAAGATCTAGAGGCTACTTAAGGTCAAGTAGTGGAGCACAGATCGATCTCGGGGACTGGGATGCGATGAATGGGTACGAAACACCCGGGTCATTGACACATCCGTCCTGGATTGAGAACAAAGCATGGCAATGGATGATGGAAGAAGACGATTCTTCCCCGCCGATATTTCGACCTAGCTCTGAGCGAGATAGCACGGATTTTCTCTCTGCGCATACAAAATACGCTTTGGCGTATTTATCCTCCAGCAACGGAGACGCCGCTTGCGGTCCAGACGGATATCTTCCAACGTCCGCTAGTCATGACTACTTAAGTAGGACACGGTATGCGCAAGATATATTTCTTGCGTTACATCTTTTGCTAGAGGAACAAAAGCTTGACATTGCATCTCGTCACCTACTATCCCCAGGCTCGGTTAACCTAAGAGCTGTGTTGCTCCAAGTTGCTCGTTGCTTGAAGTGGTTTGAATGGATAAATGCTTATGAACTCGAAATGCCCCTAGACTGGCCTGAGCAACAGCCAGGATCTATGAACATTTCTGTATCACTTAAACCCCCAGAGCCAGCCTACTGGAACGTTTCTGACTGGATCCGATCGAATTTATCACCACAACCAAACCCGTCAGCGTTCGTGCCACCGATAAGATCAACCATGATTTACTCAGTAATCCCTCGTACGAAAATGTTTGAAGATCTCTTTAAGACTCTCTCCCTTCGAAGAAGATCACCAGCGGATTTCGTCGAAGCTATGCACCAAAGCGGTATCACACCAACGATTTTGGAGTCATTACCGGAACATATCCTTGTCCCCCTCCAAGATGCAATCGCTCAATGCCAACCGGCTCCTCCCTCAAAGTGGTCTAAGGGGATGCTTGATTTAGTCAACAGAGGCGACGTCGGCTCAGTGCTAACGCAGTCGAATAACCTTCACATCCGTTCAACTAGCGTCCTTGTGAGTCTTTCTACTCAGTTGCCACGATTTACCATATTGACATTATTTAGGTACCGACTCACGTTGCTTCGTGGGATTTCAATTCTCTCTGCCAGAACGTTATGGATTTTAGCGATGCCCCATCGGATGATATCGCAGAGAGCGATAAGCAGGCAGTGATCCGTGCCATCTTCAAGGATGACCGACGCCTAGACGAAACTAAATCGATGCTAAACACAACAAAACCGCGAATCATGCGTCTAGATCCGCTACCTGAATGGACAGAAGCTTACTATCTCGAACAGCAAAAGGAAATAGTAACGAGACTGGCCAATAACACTTTGTCTATACCAGCTGGCCGTGGTCTGATGAATTATGGACTTCGCTTCCCTCTCCTAACTCAAAAGTTCCACATCAATGGCTTTGTTCTGAATTGCACTGTTCAGCCAAATAATGTGACGGTAGGTGTCGATAAATCGCTCTTCACCGAAGAGAAAATCGCGTGGGCTTTCTTCCATTCTGGTGTTGCTGGCGGGCTATCCATCTCTCGTCAGGCAAAGGGAATAGACACTTCATGGATTCTATACAACAAGCCCGGCAATGATCTAAGTAACAGACATGCCGGGTTTCTTTTGGCGTTAGGACTTAATGGGCATCTTAAAGGTGTGGCTAAATGGGTTGCTTTCAAATATCTAACGCCAAAGCATACCATGACATCCATTGGCCTACTCTTGGGTTTGGCCGCATCTTATATTGGAACCATGGACTCCCTCATCACCCGTCTGTTGTCGGTCCACGTTACAAGGATGCTCCCACGAGGGGCTGCTGAGTTAAATCTATCTCCTCTGACGCAAACAACGGGAATCATGGGGATCGGCTTGCTTTATTGCAATAGTCAACATCGGCGCATGAGCGAAATCATGATGTCCGAAATCGAACACTTCGAATCGGAAGATGATGAAGACCCGTTACGTACCGAATGTTACAGGCTAGCTGCAGGTTTCGCTCTCGGTTTTATCAACTTAGGAAAGGGGACGGACTTAAAGGGTCTCCATGATATGCGCATCACCGAAAAATTACTAACTCTAGCTTCAGCTACAAAGAAGGCTGAGAATGTGCATATTTTGGATAGATCTACCGCCGCCGCCGTCGTATCCATCGCGCTCATTTATATGAAGTCAGAAGACCATATAGTAGCTAGGAAGATTGACGTCCCTGATGCATCTTTACAGTTTGACTATATCCGCCCCGACATTCTATTACTGCGTACGGTTGCTAAACATCTTATCCTGTGGTCAGAGATCGAGCCAACACAGGACTGGGTCCGCAAGAATATTCCACGGCAATACCATTCCAGATTGCAGCCACCCCAATATCCCTCAAATCATCCGTCCCGCGGACCGCTTAACTCGACACACTTACCATTCCTCACAATATTAGCTGGCCTTTGCTTCTCTATAGCGCTGCGGTTTGCTGGATCGGGAAATCTGAAAGTTCGCGACCTTCTACTCTCCTACACTCGCAGATACTATAGCCAGTGCCGTCATCCCAGCCCGAAAGCCAGCTTCGACGAAAGAACTGTGCAAGTAGCGGCACGCATGTGCCTCGACATAGTTGCGCTCTCATGCGCAACTGTTATGGCCGGCACATGCGACTTAGAAGTCCTTCGTTACTTACGCTCACTCCATGGTCGTAACGACCCAGATACAACCTACGGTTCACACATGGCGACACACATGGCTATGGGCGCGCTATCGCTTGGCTGTGGTACGCAGACTTTTAACACGTCAAACTTAGCCATCGCTTCGCTGCTTGTTGCATTCTATCCCGTATTCCCGGATTCGGTGCAAGATAACAAGAGCCACTTACAAGCGTTCCGACATCTCTGGGTATTAGCTACCGATCCTAGGTGCCTTGTCACAAAGGACGTTTCCACGAACGCGCCTGTCGGTGTTCCAATTGCCATACGTCTAGAGAATTCGACGGAGGAAGAAGTACGCATGACACCGTGCTTATTACCTCCGCTCAGCGATGTGCAACGGGTCCGGACCATATCACCCGACTTCTGGAACCTCGAGCTAAATTTCGAGGCGCATCCAGAATACGCCGAAGCATTCAAGTGTTCACAGGCGCTATACCTCCGTAGGCGGCCCGTTAGTGACAGCCCGTTTGCAACGACTATGCTCGCGCTCGGACGCCAAGGAGGGCTTGGCGGCCCTCTATCTATTGACGCGGCGTCTCAACCTCTCGAGTGGTTGTTCGACACAGTGCCGGCACTACGAAAACTCACACACGCAGAACGTGGTATCGTGCTCGACCGCGGTGTTGGTGGTCCCGACGTGAGTAATAGTGCTGCCACCGCAGTTGACGCCCGCTTAGTTCTAGAGAACGTGATCTCTAGCGGGAACAGAGATGACCTGCTAGGCTTAAAGGGACTATTTGAGTGGTTCGAATGGAGAGCTAGGAGAACACAAGCTGAAGAGCGAGCGAAGGAGGACAACGTAAAGGATAATAGTAATGAGAAGAAAGAACTTAGTTGGAGCGGAGAGGGATGGTTAAGAGAGAGTATTGCAGAGAATTTAAAGGGAGGAGTGTGGCTTGCAGGTAGGAACTGAAGAGATGGGTATGACTTATGAGTGAAGACTACTTTTTAAAAAAAAAACACTCGGACCTACACCTCATCTTGATGATGTTTATATGTAGGTCAACAGCAACGTTATAACGATATTGCTGCCTAGCTGACTACCTAGGTACCTATATAAATATGAATAATATAAATGAGAATTAATTTTCTTGGGATTAAAAAAAAAAGGGGGGGGGAGGGTTACTAAAGAATTAGGTAACATACATTTCGATTGAAGGTTGAGACTATTGGATCATATAATTGTCCACTTATATAAGTCAAAGCTAGGAATAGCTACCTACCTAGGTATAGAAACACTATGGACATAGTACAACCAGTAAAACTAGCACATGCACCAGCGCCAACTGGCACATGGCCAAGAGGACCCACTCATGTGATTTTGGCGGGTGACATCACCACGCTGTCCACCTTCCACCTAAACATTTTCAGGGTTCTTAGCTTTATTAGCTAAAAGTACCTAGGTAGTTACCTGGTAGTTAACTAACTAAAGAAAGCTTCCAAACTTCCAAACTTCCAAACTTACAACTTGCAACCTACAAAACCGCAAACCTGCCAACCCATTCAAAATCTTGTATTTCCCAACTGTCCGGTTATGGTTGTGGAACTCTCTCTTTAACTTCACTCGTCCGGCACTTAAGCTGAGTTTATTACAGGTCGACAGTATTATGTCTATAGCCGTTACGCACGTAGTATAGTTTGCTTCTCGTTTCCGATTCCGACTTTTTCCCTACCTATCCTCCGTTCTTCAAGACTAGACCTTTCCCCCGTACTCGATTTCCTGGAGTTATGATCGATTATCGAGATAGACAGATTTTGTACATACAGGATGCTTCCTTACATTAATATACGTATGGCTACCTAGATATTGTTGTTCTTGGAGGATCAATTGCGCTGACTTTGTGTAGCGTTTGAGTGGTTGTCTGGAGTGGTGGGGGCTTCTCCTGATGAGCGTAGGTTTTGTCCAATTCAATTTCCGTCTATCGTTGTCAGTTTACTAAGATTGCCAAATATATAGTCAAACTCATATTCTCCCTCCTCGCCTCATACCCGCTTGCTGGCCTCTTGAAGCGAGTTCCAGATGCTCGCCCCGAATATAAGAATCTATTTAATATAGGGTACGAACACTTCCCCGGTCGTGCGCTGTCTCATAATAGAGTTGTCAAGAGATCAGTTGCTTATTAGTGAATAGTGGAGGCCTATTCTATCTTGTAGGACTATTCTCTCTATGGGTCGGCGTTCGAACCCTCTTCATCTCATCCGCCGTCACGTATGGCCTTACCTACTACTTACGAACGTCCGCCTATATGCCATGGATGGCCTTCGTATTCCTTATGGGCCACATGGCTGTAAACCAGCTCAGTCGCCAGTTCGATGGTAACCCTTCCGGAGTTGATATTACCGGTGCGCAAATGGTACTTGTTATGAAGTTATCTGCTTTCGCTTGGAACGTGGCGGACGGCACCCTACCCGAGGACCAGCTCAGCGACTTTCAGAAAAGCAGAAGAATAGTTAAGCTTCCTAGCTTACTAGACTATGCCGGATATGTGTTATTTTTCCCGGGACTCTTGACTGGTCCGGCCTTCGATTATAACGAGTATCGCGCCTGGATTGACTGTTCTATGTTTGACGTCCCGGCCACTATCGACCCCGCCAAGAAGCCACCCACCAGGAAGAAGCGCAAGATTCCAAGGAGCGGTACGCCCGCTATGTTGAAATTGGCGAGCGGTCTCGGGTGGATTTGGGTCTTCTTGAACTTGAGTAAATGGTATAGCCCTGAAGCCCTCCTCGATGACCGCTCTCCTGCAGCAGGGTTCCTACGCCGCGTTTTGATTATGCATATGGTAGGCTTCACCGCCCGCTGTAAGTACTACGGCGTATGGTCCCTAGCAGAGGGTTCGTGTATTTTGGCCGGCCTGGGTTTCAATGGCGTAGATCCCGTGACGGGTAAAGTCTCATGGAACCGACTACAGAATATCAATCCATGGGGTGTAGAGTTGGCCCAAAACAGCCGCGCCTACCTTGAGAACTGGAACATGAACACTAACAAGTGGTTACGTTACTATATCTACCTCCGCGTAACACCGCGAAATAAGAAACCAGGCTTTCGCGCCAGCATGGCCACTTTTGTGACCAGTGCGTTCTGGCACGGCTTCTACCCGGGATACTATCTCTCATTTGTCCTTGCGAGCTTCATCCAGACAGCCGCAAAAAGTACGTCACATCATTTTTCACTCTTAACTTGGTCTCCTTCTCCTATTCTCCCCTAGAAAATTCGACTAATGAAGCCTTTTAGACTATCGTCGCCACCTACGACCTTTCTTCCTTGACCCAGCCACGCAGAAGCCACTCCCAAGCAAAAGATACTACGATATAGTGTCGTGGATAGCGACACAAACAACCTTCTCATTCGCAGTATCCCCTTTCATCATCCTACGTCTAGATGACTCCCTCCGCGCCTGGGGCCGCGTATACTTCTACGCAATAGTTACCACGGGTGCTAGCCTAGCGTTCTTCGCATCTCCAGCTAAATCTCAACTTCGTCGGATGCAGGAAGAACGCACACGTGGTCGTGGCACCAGTAGTGGTAAAACATCCCGCTCCGCAAGTGCGGATAGTTCGGCCGGTCCAGTGCTGGGCCTTAGCGCCGACCCGGGTAAGGATATTGATGAGGCGTTGCAAGAGTTGCGAGAGGAGGTGGAGAGGGTGAGGAAGGATGCCGATGGGAAGACGGGTCAGAACGGGAGTCGTGAGGGGAAGAAGGAATTGTAATTTATTCTTACGGCCGAGGTCGATCAATGGTCAGGTGTAGAGTGGGTTCGAGGCAAATGGAGATATCAACCATGGTACTGGTAAGAGTGGAATTCAAGTGGCATGATCATGTTTGGCGGTCTATAATCCTTGTTTTACTACTGAGGAGTCCGGAAGCAGACCGGCATACTACGTAATGATGAGCTAGTCAATGTGAAGTGGTGGAGAAGTACGTTCGTTACGCAACGGATGAAAGGATGTGATGAGACGAGGTAGAATGAGATAAGAGTATCAGTACTTCTAATGCCTCCCTCTAGCAAAAGCCTGGAGTTGAAAATAAGAAAGAGGAAGATATAGATACCTGATATTTACACATAATGTAATACCAGTAATTTAACATTACCTCAATTTTATATAACAATAGGTATACAGAAATTTAATCACGATTTCAAAGGCATAGGCAGAAGAATCATCTAGTTCTCAAAATGACTTTTCAATTCGTAAGATCTCGTCATCGTAGGCATGATTTCGTACGTCTCCGTCTACAACTATCTAGCTTTAAAAAAAACTAAAACCAGGCGTGAAAGACATCATTACGCAGATATCCGTAACGGCATCGAATCTGAACTTTTTCAGTACCTAGTGAGTTCCCTTCCCTTCCCTTCCCTACTCGAAATGCTCGGGTATTTGTAGATAACCGGCACGAACGTAACATAACGTAACGTAACCCCAGCTCGTCTGCGAATCTTGCTCCATTCAGCAGATCGCTGTAACTTTTTCTTCCTCCTCGTCTCGTATCATCCCATACATGGCAAACGCCTCCCTCAGCAGGAAGTAAAACCCTCATTCCCACATCCCGATCGCCAACCCCCAACCCCAAAACTACCTCAGTAGGTAGCTAGCTACGCCAAACGGCCAAGCAACCGCGCCGACAAGAAAGCAACAAAAAAAGCGCGTACCACAGAGGAGGCTGTCTCGTTCTCCAGACACTCCGTACGACCCGACTCCAAAGCAAACAATTTGGTTTCGAGGGTATCATGTCCCGTTTGCTCCCGTCTAAAGATTTTCTACAAAAAGTACAAGTTAAAATATAAAAAAAGGGGTGTTGTTTTTTCGATCGAAGAGAAATATCGTTAAGAGTTCGTCGTAAGGTATACAAAATTCGTAAATTTGAAAAAGCGTGAAGAAAAAAAGTGCGAAGACGGACGAATATGTGGCGGCGGAGAAATATAAAAATATGGTGAGAGTGATGATGATATCGGGTGTTATGTGCAGCCGCATGGCTCGTGAGATCGTGATTACAGATTACGTAAAAAAGGATCATAGTTCGTCGTTTCGAGGATAAAAATATAGAAAGATATCGGGGTTGTAGGTTATGAATTGATCGCGTAGGAGTCGTTGTCATGATCGGCCCCATTTTTCCCGAACGCCCACCACGACGAGAGCAATAACCGCACCGACGATTATGAGTCCCGCGATGGCCATGAAACGATTTATGTTTCTCCACCATCGCGCACTCTGGTATCGGGCGTCGTCGTTAAGAACAACTCGTCCTTGAGGAGGTTCCGCATGGTCCGAAGCAGAAAACTGAGTCGTACTATAAGTACGTTCTTCCATGGCGAGCGTTGGCTTTGGGGGGAGCGGCAAGAAAGCTGCAATCATCCAAGCTGTTATCCTCGTCAGTAATTGCGAAATCTACCTATTTAAATTTTACTCACCAAAGGGAAATAGAAATCCCATTACGAAGAGAGCTACTTGGAGATTGCGCTTCCCAAACATGCCGCTGTCGGCAGACCAGGTGATAGAGGGCGTATTCCACATGCTAAAATTACTAGCACGGGTATCTTGGCGAAGATGTGGCGACCATAGGCTTGAGGATTTCTTCTTAGGAGTTCGTTGCATGTGGCCCGCTTCAACCGGTGCGATCCCCATTGAATCTTCTGATTGCTGGCTCCCGGGATCTGATACATCCCTCGGTCGACGACGTGGGTTGTAAATAGGCTGGGCGTACTGGTCATGAGATGGCGATCCACCACCTACCCAGGGACTCCTCGAGGTATCGCTAACTTCGGAAGGCGATCTGGAAAGCGGCGCGGGCCAACGTCTGTCTGGACTACTGTAGTAGAGCCTAGAATAATTATTAGGAACTACAGTATTTTTAGTATTTTACTTGAATATCTTACCTTGCCCATGATGGGAAAGAGGAGGCCACTAAACTTCCGGCACGCGAGCTCACGCTGGAGCGGAGACTTCTATCTGAAGCTTGTCTAGAGAAGCCGAGGCGAGTCCGGGACGATCTGTGTTGAAGATGTTGAAGATCTGCTAACCCATCACCATGCTCGTCGTGATCCCGAATCATACGAGGCGAAGAAGCAGGCAGTTCTCTTCCTCTCGAATAAACAGCTCCTAGGCGATCCAAAGAATCACTTAGGGAATGCGACCTCGAATGCGACAATCGGGTTTCCAAGTTATCTAGGACCAACGACGACGAAATACTGCGCATGTGCCTGCTATCCCTACTTCCGAGAAGACTACTGACCCGATCCGCCATAGAACCGGCCGAAGCCCCACGAGAGCCAGGATCGCTGCCTTCATACTCAGACATCACGGTCGAGAGCTGTGAACTCCATTGATGCGTATCCATCTGTGCTCTTTGTTGCGCCGCACTCGATGATTCTGCATGTGTAGGTTGCGGGATAGACGAGGCGGAAGGCGTGTGGTGTAAAAGAACGACGTTCGGGGTGGACCCAGTGAAAAGGGACCCAGTATCGTGACTAACTATACTCGAAAGAGACGAGAACGAGTTAGCTCGGCCCCGAAGATTTTCTCCCGATCGTTGCCCGTAATAACTGATGCTTTCGGATGACGATCGCTTGTGCGGTCTAAGCGGAGGCACGAGGAGGCTTTCTTGCGAATACCTCTCGCGCACTTTGCGTTGGGAGCTGTCGTCGGAACGATGGTAACGGTGTCCACGGAAAGGGGTACTCGATGATGATAAAGAGGAGGCGTCGTAAACGATGTAGTTCTTGCTTGCTGGAGTGTCAGCGATTGTAGGGCCAACGGTCGAGGCAACAGTCCGGGCCGGTGATGATTGCCCGAGAAGTTTGTAGTTCGCACTACTGGATGAAGACGGTACTTCAATGCTTGCCGTGTCTGGTAGAGGCGGAGAACTACGACCTACGACTTTGTAGTTCGTAGTCTCTTCGATCGTCGATACGGTCTGTTCGGAATTAAATGATTGCTTCGTCAGGAGCGGAGACGAAGGTTCCGGCGACGGGGTGGTCGTTACCGGCAATGGTGGTAAGGGAGATTCCGAAAGTTCTCTCTGCTTCCCCTTGCCTTTAGGATCGGGTGTGATTGGAACTTTACGCAAGCCACCAACCATGCGGTAATTCCAGGGCGAAGGTTCAACCAGTTCTTCCGGTAACGCCGTGATTGTGGAGGGGGAGCCTGATGTATTAGGCGAGATGCTACGCTCGAGCGCAGAGCTCAATGGAGATCCGTGACGATCTTCGATAGATGCGTCAAACGAACTTTCTTCATGCGAACTGATAGTGGAGACGTTGGTAGAGACGTTAGATAGCGGAGGCGATTTTACAGTCGATCCCGACCTGTCTGAATGGCGTGGGTTGGAGTTCGGTTTCGTTGACTTGAGTACGATTGAGAAAGTCTTGTCTGAGTGTACGCTAATGTAATTTTCTCGTCTAGATACGGTTCCTCTCCGTGGCCGTGAAGGTCCGTCATCGTGGCGCGATGGTGATGGCTGCGATTGGGGATTAATACGTTTAATATTGCTTCCATATGATGGCCTATTAATGACAGGGGTTTGTGGGGCAGTGTCTTCAACACCACCTGAGCTAGAAGCGAGTTTCGACCCTGAAACATCGCTACTTATGATCCTAGCTAATGGTGAGATAGGTGTCGAAAATGATGGCGAACGTGATGAATCAGCGCCATAGCCTTGCCTCCTTTGGATTGTGGCTTTTGGCGTTCTTGGTGTTGCGATAGTTGCCGAGTCGGTTGTGCTCTGAACATCGTCATCATCTTCTTCTTCCCCCTCAACTTGTTCGTCTGCGTGAGACAACCTGCTGCTATCTTCTTCATCGAGAGGCCTAGGCGGTGAGTAAGGGACCATGCGAATTTGCAGCTTATTGCTTTCTGAGTCCGACCTCTCGTGCAATGGTGTCCTCGGCAACTGGGTTGACGATGACGAAGTCGAAGACATCCTCAACTGCGAGCGCGGCCCGATAATGCGGGAAATAGTCGCGGGAAATCAAATTACCTAAGTCCAGTAGCTATAAAAGTGTTTCGACAAAGGCCATAACGATTTACGTAAACGGCGATACTATATGCAGATCCGGGAATTGGCGACGTATATTTCGACGTAGAACTTCGTTTCGAGCAGTGTATACTATGTAAGCGAGTGTAAAAGCGAGTGTATTTTCCGAGCGGTACGGAGATCGTGGTTAATGACAGGCGAGTAGTGTAGGACATTAATAATAATAAATTATAACGAAAACCGAGGGACTAAAAAGTAGCCGACGGATGTCAAAGAGAGACGTGAAGTTCGTAGAAATATTATATCGCTATGAAGATAGCGTAACAAAGAATCCAGACAAGGACGTTGTGGACAAGCGTCACATAGACAAGCTTTAGTTTGAATCTTTAGAGGAATAATAATAGAAAGGAGTGGGACGGGTCATCAAAGAGAGGCCCAAAAGATAATTCCTACACTACATACAGACCACACACACACGCATCCGCGGGGAAGAAACGAGATCGGGATGACAAAAAGCAGCGAAGCTGTCAGAAGACGGGCAAGAAGAGGTATTATTTCTTGAAAGGTGCCCCGGAGTGCCGAGTCAAAGATCGATTGGCTAGCGGCTGAAGTCATCTATCTAAAGGCGGCTGCATATTACCTAGCAAGCTATGCAATGCAGCCGAAAGGGAGCGTCCAGGGTTCCATCGAGCCAGCGCGGGCATAGAAGCCGAAGGGGGAGTACTGGAGAAGACCAAAACCAAGGAGAAGCTTTCACGGAGCCCTAATACTAAAACCGGCCTAGGAGAAAAGGCTGACATGGACAAGGAGTCGCACAAGTACCGCATCGCTTGGCATCTCACCGCGTACACTATGTGTACATCTTGAGATTTTCAGTCCTTACGATGGAAAATGATAAACAAGATACTACCAGAAAGACAATAGCGATGTGCGATATGTACATAGCGCTAAGGCCACTATGGTCTATGTTGCTTCTTTGTAGGATCCATCCGTCTGCAGCATTTTTGTACAGTACGTTAGGTACCTAGGTATGCATGCATGTCTGGATGTAAGTTGAAATGAAGTTAAAAAGAATTTGTGGACAAAGGCGGTCGAGAAAGCCTACCACAGTTGCAGTCTTGAAGGCTACTGCGGAGGCCGGGGACTACAACCCATCATCTGCAAACCGTCAACCAGCCATTCGTTACTAAAATCTAACCAAGAAGTTAGCATCTGTCTCAAAAGACGCCCGCCATAATACTCTCCATCCAGATTCCAGACAACCCAGACAACCCAGACGGAAGTTTTCTTTTTCTCTCATCTTCGACACCTTGGTCGCATCGTGGCCATATCATCTCGACAGAGACACTTGTTACCATACCAACATAGTACCATAGGTACGAAACAGCTAAGGTCAATAATTTTGAGCAAGGGCAAAAGATCGGTGAAGAGATTGTGTAAATTAGACGTTGGCCATAACAAGGTGCAATTGGCCGAGATCTGGTTAGTCTGGGGATGAAATCCCAGTAAAACCAAAGATCAAGGACCCAACTAAAAATTCCGACGGTTAAGGAGCTCGGATCTAATGCTAAAAAGGAAATAGAAGCATGGGCCAGAAAGAAAGAAGAACGTGGCTTAGCAACGAAACCTGCATAATTCCATTATTCCAACTTTCAATTCAAGTCCTTTCATTTGTCCATGTAGCCCCATTTTACTGGTACGATTAGGTAGGTACATAGTACCTGGGTACATAGTACCTGGGTGCTTTGCATTTCGTATCCCACCTATTAAAAAAAAGGCTGGCACGAAATACATAGTTGACTGATAAGCGCGTGCATTTCGTGTTTTTCCTTTAATAGACCATTCGTCGCAGAAAAGAGTTATTTTAGTATTCTGTCATCTACCGACCATTCTAGAATTTAAGGAACGAATAAAAGAGATAAAAGCGATGCGACCTTTTAATTCGAAAACTAAATGCTTTATTGGAGCCACGAATCGTTCTTACAAGCCACTAATACGATGTATCTATGTACCTAGGTACCTAGGTATTACGTCTTGTCTCCATAGGAGAGCTCCTGGAAGACCGTGCATAACAGTGCTATAAGATGCTATATATATACTGTATGAACCAATTAACGGGGCTAATAAGTGGACTGAGGCTAGGTACCTCTCTGCCTCTAGTGTAACCAGCTAACCAACTAGGGACCCCCCTGGCTAGTATGTGATATACACTAACATACGTACCTGAATTGAAATTTTTTTGTTTTTTACCAGCTCCCATTTTTTTCTCAGAGGGTCAAACAAATATGTATGCACACGTCGAACATACAGTAGATTTTCAGAGATTCTTTCCCTCTCATCCATATAAGGACCTCCCTGCAGCCAGCCTTGACACGGCGTCTGTCTTGTCTTCAAACCCGTGAAACCCCATGGCTTAACGGGGTTGAAGAGCCGCTCGCGCTTAAACTATCATCTCGTAGGTCGACGAGACGCTTCCTGCAGATTGAAGCGCCAACAGGTGCCGAGAAAACAGCTCAACCAGCCGTATATTTTCTCATGACATAAGGTAAACGAGCCTTTGCCCAATATCCGTTTCATTTCCTGCAGAATCATCGGATATTACAACGGACTATGTCGTCGTTCTGCATTGATTTTGACATTTGAGCTGTCGTAAGTGTTTCTTCAGTCGGCAGTCGGAGAATTCGACCAGGTCAAGGGGTTAAGGGTAGAGTCAATCTCCTGCATACCACACCTTCACCCACTCTTTAAGGCATAATCCGATCTAGCATAATCATATCCTTCATGCGACCCGACGATTCATTCATCCTTGTGTCTACGGAAATCTCATTTTATGCTTGAGGACTTGTCTAAGACATAGTTAAAGCTATCAAAGAGTTAAAACAATCAAGCGAAAGAGTAGTCGAAAGCTTTGTCAGCTTTGCAGACCTCGGAGTGGTTTTCTTGTCATCTAATATTGAGCTTCTTATTACCTTACCTTAGGTAGTCTCATAAATGTCATTCTAGCCACTTCGAACAGGTTACAGGTAAAACACTGGTGTAAAACCAGTACCCAGTCAAAGATGCCTTCGATATCAGGTTTCATAACCCGTTACTTCACAAAGGAACAACGTAAGTTACCATCTAATCCATTTTACCGATTGCATCTCTCTAACTTAGCCGCGCCAGCAAAACCACCACCAATCAGCACTGGAACCGCGGTCTTCCTACTCGTAAGTCCCTAACTATGCATGCAGCTAGACGCAGTTCTCCCACGAGCGTTTGGCATCGGGCAGAAAAAGAAGCGCTTAAGGCATTGACTGGTAGCTAGGTAATCTACACGCTCATCTACGTGGTACCATTTTACCTTTCACCCACTACCAGGCCGTCTCGTACTCTATCGCGGGACGCGCCGTCTGTGATCCGCGCGCGGATAACCTCGGTCTCACTGACCTGTATCGCGTGCTCTACTATTACCTTTGTGATCTTAACGTCGCAGAGCCGGGCTACGACAGCCGAGGCCCTGCATACGCTAGGCTACTGGCCTGTCGGCCTCGTGGAGACGGCGAAGTGCCTTCTGCTCACCGCTATCCTCTTTGCCGGGCCATTGTACGAACGTCTCGTCGTCGATGAAGGATGGCGAGATTGGTTATCTTTACAGCCATTGTCTGATCTCTTCAGTGAGTTGACGACCTGGCGTAACATCGTAGCGGTAAGTTTCATGTTTATCTTGTCTCATGCAATCCAAAGCAGCCAAACCGCATCCCCTTACATCATGATGAGAAACATTGGTCCGTGTTTCTGAGCAGACTCAAGACCTGTCAGTGAGGACAATACAATAGCACTCTGTGCAACTCTGATTCCATTCCCCATTCCCTTCATCGCCTATCTGCTGTTTAGAAAGCTCCAAATAGGCAAATTCTAACAATCGCAGGGTCCTTTCACAGAAGAAGCTCTCTTCCGCTCAGCCTCCGTGCCGCTTATGCTCGCGGCGCAGACCTCTGTGACTACCACCGTCTTTCTCTCGCCACTAGTCTTCGGGCTCGCGCATCTGCATCACTTCTATGAGTTCCGTATCACGCATCCGCAAGTACCTGTAACGTTTGGGCTTTTACGTTCCTTGATGCAGCTCGGCTACACATCATTATTTGGTGCTTATGCCACGTTTCTGTTCCTACGCTCCGGTAGCCTAATAGCTGTTTTCGTAGTCCACGCTTTTTGTAATTGCATGGGTCTGCCTCGTATCTGGGGCCGTGTCTATCCTGCTGTCGTCACTGATGAGAGAGGGCAGTCGTATCGACCTTCTATTATGTGGACCGTAGTTTACTATATAGTTCTAGTCGCTGGCGCAGTGGGGTGGTACAGAAATCTAGGCTTGCTGACGGAGAGTACTAATGCTTTGGTCTCCGTTAATATATGATAGTGGTTAGATTAGGTACCTAAGTTATGTCGTCTGATGAATATTACAGATACCAAAATATTCCAGGTGCCTGTTTTTTACGCAGTAATAGTATAGCTAGGAAGTTTACAAAATCGCAATAATATCAATGAAATATTCACACAACGTTGACTCTTTTTCTGTCCGTATCGTAGTGTTCGATGTCACAAAGAGATCGTTAATATGACATACCAAATGACATCCTTGAAACTCAGTCCATCTCGAAGCTATTACCCTCGATTTTAATCCCAAGTTCAAACCACCCGGTTTACTAGGTTTGGTAACTGGAGATGTATGATAACAGGTAGTCATAAACTACCTACCTATGCATATGATGATATGTAAAGGACATTGCTACAAAAGCTATGCTGGGATTATTAGCTAGGCTATATGAAAGATAATATAAAATCTCCCTATAACCTTCCATCGAATATTAAAAACGTTTAAAAAAATTCATTTAAGAAACGTATCTATTTTTCAAGCCATGCTAGGCATGATTGTTGCCAGCATTGATAAGTACCTATTCTTAGTTAATAATTTATAAAGTTGACGTATAATTAACAGTTAACCTGCAAACTACGTACGAATCATCCTAAAATCGTTGAAGTCGGATTTACGGCTCTTCATCGAATATAATATTGAGTTTTTATAGACCTAAATTATAACCCATAATCACAACTGGTCAATGATAAGTACGAAGAAGCTAGGAATCGAAAAATTACGTTAGGCAGTGTAGTCCTTCTCGTAAGTTTAGCATAGCACGTATATCAATGCCGTGTATTTGAAAGCTAGATAGGTATTCAAACCACTCGTCTTTATATATTATACCTTACATCAATATAGATCAAACCCGTTATATCCTACGTCTAAGTGTTTGTAGGTATAATCAAAGATCTAAACTGAGTAAGCGGTCGTTTGTCTATAGGAGGTAACTGGTATTTTATAATGACGATTCTTTCTAGGAGGATTTGGACAGACATGTCAGGGCTAAATATCATATGAGATGTAACAATTCTCATCTGGCAACTGATCCTAGCTAAAGCCTAATAGTAGGGCAGTCTTCTAAGTAGGTAGTGTACTATTCACGTTCATATACTTAGACAAGTTCAAGTGTACTATAAAAACTCGGTATTTCTTCAAATATATTATGTCTGGTATACATCGTGATATTGTTGCCCCTCTATTTGGCAACGACTAATCTAATACAGCACGTATAGCTACATATTGGGTAGCTTTCACGATATACATAGTGCTGCTCGCTAACTAGCTATTATGGGACTGAACCCGCATTCTCTACAATTTATACATGGCTAGATCATACAAGATACTTCCTGACAGCCCCGTTGACTCGGCAAGCGGCATGCTTGCTTCGCCCCTCCTAGTGGTCACGCAGGCAATGTTTGCCCAGCACTTGGTGACAGCCCTGCTAGGCGAAAAAGGAGTGAATAACTGCAACCTGGTTGTAATGTCTTGGTTGCGGGGTACTGTCGCCTCATCCTCTCATGAGCTCACGGCCCGGTGTCGCTTATTAGAGCCCCGATATTTAGTACGATATCTCAGCTATGTCTTCGATTTTATAACCTCAACAGGAGGGTTGGCTGGGCTCAAGTTGGTAGATCAAGTGTCATTCCTGGTAAACTTCCCGGCATGCTAAATCCTCCCGTACTAGAGGTATCATCCCGGCCCCTAGCCCGTCGATATCTCAGACTATCAGGAGGGCTTAGTTCACGTCTCTGTCCTGCCGCGGCCTCGGCCTGAAATTCTTTAAAGGCTTCCTCCCTGACGTCATTAGCAACTTCACGACCCTTGCCTTTGCCCATGCTACTTGATGCCGTCGAGACTCCTTCTAAAGGGTCGTCACCGCCACGCGTGTTCTTCTTGCGCGGCCAGAGGCTAGGCAGCGCGATCTCCTGGAAGCGGGGCTCGACTGCACGCTCGTCGAACCAGCGGTGTAAGCGAGACTCGACGAGCTGGGCGATCTTGGGCACGTCTTGTAGCCGCGACCGGCTACCCACGAGGCTACGCACAGAGAAATCAAGGCGGTAGTCGTCGAGGAAGCTGAATGCCATCATAGTTGGAGTTGACTGCGAAGGGTTTGACGGAATGAAAGAGATGCTTAAAGTGCCGCTAAAGCGCACGACGCTGACGGCGAGCGCGACAGGCAATACGGCTGTCAGCCGTTTCGGGTAGTTGAGAAGGATCTTGGTCTCTAGTGCTAATGTAATCATATCGCTGAGGTCGACATCCATCCGGGCCTGCAGCCGCGACCCCTCACGCTTCGCACGAGAACTGTTGGCATCGAAGCGCTTCTCCCCGTTGGGGCCTGTGTTCAGACTTAAACCGTCCTCATCTACGGGTATGATGCGGCAATTACTAAAGATAGGGAAGTCTTCGCCCAGGGTCAGCTCGGTGACCTTGATCTCGTCGAGGAATCCCGGGCGTGAGGTGCCATTGAGGGCTTTGGTGAGGGAGGTAAGTATTGCGTCGTCCTGCTGGGCATCGCTGCGGAATTGTGCAATTGTTTGAGCGATTAGGACATTAAACCAATCCAGCGACTCGGGCTGGTGGCTATCGACGTTGTAGTACGTCTTATTTAATATAGACCCTATCGTAAGCGTAGGTGGGCTCCGAAGTATACTCGATTTTTTCTTATTCAGCGTTGGCGGTAGGGATGGCCTCGCCGTAGTTGGTGTCGTGGATCGTAGAGTAAGAATGGATTGTCGGTGGGCGAGGGTACGAGATCGACGTTCGGCAGCTCTCGTGGAGGCCGTTATTTCGGCCGATGGAGCTTCTCCGAATATAAAGAATTTTATAAATGCGGCTAGGAGGAGTACGACGGAGATTTGACCGACGATGAGGCCTTGGGTGAACGACAAACTATTTCCGGGTGATGAGGTTAGAGACTATTATATCATAACTATAATAACTAATATAAATAAAGAGCGGAAATTAGTAGGTTCACCTACGTCGGTTCAGGCTTCATCGGACACACGTCCGTAGCCGCAGCCATCTTAGCTTATAACATCTAGATGGAAACTTCAAAAGCTCTTGAACAATCTAAAAATGAAGTAATTGCGAGATTCAAGTGGGAGGATGGAAGCTTTAAACTTTTCTAATCTAGCAGCAACTTTCAGAGCTGTCCTGCATAAGCTTTAATCTTTATCTTATCGGGGAAGTATTCGTTACCCCAACTTACTAATCATATATAATTGAGAATCAAGTACTGGATACGTTAACGTCACTTAGCATTTACACCGTACCTAGCAGGTACATACACTAGTAGACCCCTGCTATAATGACGATCTATCCTCTAAGCCGCATGAGCTTAAACCTCCCTTTAATTCGTCCACCAACAACTTATAAGCGACAAGTATAAACCTTGCCATCTCACAATCATATTCATTTACTGAGGAGCAAGCAAATACAATTCTTATTTTAAATCAATTCTGCTATAACCTTATATTCAGGAATACTTTCTATTACAACATCTTGCGGAGCCGACCAAGATGGATGTTGTTCAAGCCGTCTCCGGCTACATCTCTAAGATGGTGTCAGCCGGGGACAGCGCATCGGGGACTCCATCCGCAAAGATGAAGATACTCTTATTAGATAAAGACACAGTGCCAATCGTATCTACTGCTATTACACAATCGTCTTTACTCAATCATGAAGTCTATCTTACCGATCGACTTGATAACCAGAACCGAGAGAAGATGCGACATCTGAGATGTCTGTGCTTTGTCCGACCATCCCCAGATTCCATTCAATTTCTAATTGATGAGCTACGAGACCCCAAATACGGCGAATACTACTTGTATTTCAGCAACGTCGTGAAGAAGTCATCATTAGAAAGATTAGCCGAAGCTGATGATCATGAGGTCGTCAAGCAAGTTCAAGAGCACTTTGCTGATTACCTCGTTGTCAACCCAGACCTCTTTTCACTCAATCTTACCTTGCCACAGCAGAGAATATGGAGCGGCAATCCAGATTTATGGAACCCTGAATCATTGCAGCGGACTACCGACGGATTGATAGCTATCCTGCTGTCGCTTAAGAAGAAGCCACTCATCCGGTATGAGAGGAATAGCTTGCTGGCTAAGAAACTAGCTACCGAAGTGAGATATCACATCACTCAGGAGGAGCAATTATTCGATTTTAGAAAAGTAGACACGCCGCCTATACTTCTTATTCTGGACCGGAGAGAGGATCCTGCTACGCCACTACTCAATCAATGGACATACCAGGCCATGGTACACCAACTTCTCGGGATTCACAACGGACGGGTTAACCTGGACGAGGTCCCAGAAGTCCGTCCAGAACTTAAAGAGATAGTACTATCGCAAGACCAAGATCCGTTCTTCAAGAAGAATATGTACTTGAATTTTGGGGACCTCGGCGGGAACATCAAAGATTACGTGGAACAGTACCAGTCTAAGACGAAGAACAATGCCAACATCGAGTCAATCACGGATATGAAACGATTCATCGAGGAATACCCAGAATTCAGGAAACTCTCCGGAAACGTTAGCAAGCACGTTACCTTGGTCTCGGAACTTAGCCGGAGAGTAGGCGCCGAGAATCTGCTTGAGGTCAGCGAGGTCGAGCAGAGCTTAGCCTGTAACGACAATCACGCTACTGACTTAAGGGTATAGTAACCTAATTACTTAACAGACAGGCTTAGGGGGCTAACTTTGGTATAGAATGTCCAGAGGCTAATACAGTCCCCGTCGGTAACTCCCGAGAACAAGGTCGGACTCGTGGCGTTGTATGCCCTACGATATGAAAAGCACCCATCAAATTCGCTGGCTATGCTAGTAGACTTATTAACGGCAGCCGGTGGTGTACCTGCGCGACAGGCAGACATGATAGCGAAGTTGTTAATTTACCACCACTCCCTACAGCAGTCCCAGACAGCCGGCGGCATCGCGGATATTTTTGAGTCAGGGGGTATCTTCTCGGGCGCACGGGCCATAAAGGGGCTAAAGGGTGTCGAGAATGTATACACGCAGCACTCGCCGCACCTAGAGACAACGCTCCAAAATCTAATTAAGGGCCGGCTACGCGAGCAGCAGTACCCATTCGTAGAAGGTGGCGGCACAACGCGGGATAAACCCCAGGATATCATAGTGTTTGTGATTGGTGGCGCGACGTACGAGGAGGCTAAGACGGTCGCTAGTATTAACGCCTCGTCGCCCGGCATTAGAGTTGTCTTGGGTGGGACCAACATCCATAATGCAGCTACGTTCCTTGAGGAGGTTGATGATGCGGTGTCCTCGTGGCCAGAGCCGCCACCGACTACGACCGCGGGGCGGTTGAGAAAGGAGCTTGGGAGAAGGTAGATAGGCTAATAGTTAATACGAGAAAATTTCCCATTAGACTTGGAGGTTCTGCAGGCTATCTGGGCGAAACTATATGTCACAATTACTGGTGTAAGAGCTGGTCATAACTGATTGTTTTTAACGGAAACAGTTATTTATGGGTTTCGCATTCCTTGGGAATTAACCATTTGCGTTGTGAATCGAATTCAGGGTTATCTTCTTAACTAATACACTGCTATCAACTCATATCTGGGACGTATATTTCTGTCTTCGTGACAAGGCTACCTAAAATATTAAACCGCAGAAGTGGAGGTAGCGGGCCTATGACCGTTAGGCACGATTGATGGCTCTGTTATATCACACCCCCTTTGATTAAACTAGATACGTATATGACAATGTGATGTACTAACCAAAAAATTCTATAAAAGATGCATAGATGTTGGTTAGTATGTCCGTTGGGATAGGAAAGGTTCGCTTGGCGCCGACTAGTTCGGGCCGCGCATCGGCTATGTCTACACGGTTTAGAAACCACCAGAGATGAACCGAGTGTGGCTGAGTTTACTGTTGGTTGTTTTAAGAAGGTTTATGTCACATCAAAAGAGGGGAAATGGGCAAAACAACCCTGTTGCATGATCATGTCAAATATTCTACCTACTATAGTCGAGAGCTGACATTTTTTCAAGCTGTATTAGTCTATCGCCTCTGCTTATGGTCCTTCTCCTCTTTTCATCTACACTTTATTACGCCTTGTAGACTAGGTTGGACTCGTTTGGAATAGCATATAAATATAGCAATCCTGACCTTTATCTGCATTCGTTTTTATAAGCATTCGAAGTATCATGGTCTGGAGCGCGGGGAGCGCGGGCCGGTGTATTCACACCATGGTATGTACAGTTAGGAGAATGTGATAGGAGTTGCATGCATATAGTCGCCATCACATGCTGGCTGATCACAGGTTACTCTTTAATCCGTGGTATAATCTTAGAAAGGGGCCACCTTAGGTCACACTGTTGGGACTTATGCTTTATACACGGTATAGCAACCTATTCTTATCTGCTTCCTGAATCGTGGTTGCGGCTAATAACCAATAAATACTTAAGGCTCTAATATATATAAAGAAGCATGATCGATCTCATTATTTTTCGGTTCCATGAAAATTTAGAGCTCGACGAACAGTACTCCCCTATGAAACTCGATCTGGAAATACAGCTTGATATCAATAACCACAACAGCAAGGTAACCTATTAGGAAGCTACTATATAGTATCACTATAGTTTCTTACTTACCATGAGGCTAACTCACTGTGGAATAGGGTTCCAACAATTAGCTTTGCTTTCAGCATATATTTGGCAAAATGTTCAGAGCATTCACCCAGATCATTGCGTATTATCGAAATACACCTGAAGCCCAGGGACATACATCTCAAATTGTAGGCGATGATAATACTGCGTTTCAATATGGGAGCGGCCATTGGAATTACAATCAAGGAAATTTCAACAGAACCGCCCAGCAAGGCTTACAGCAGCGGAACACAGTTGTGGGGAATAAGAACGGGACAGCCCAATTTGGCGCTCAAAACGTTTCCAGGACAGACGGGCACAAAAGCGTGACAGGCCAGAATGGCGCGAACAATGAGAGTGTGACCAGGGTTAACAGGCATACAACCATTCAATCTGGTGTTGGCCACAAGCATAATTCCGGGAACTGTGGCGGGGATCTTTGTAACGAAGGGAATGTCGGAGAATGTGCGCAACTTCTCCACGACCAGCCAGTTTTATTGCAATATATAAACTATTGGCAATGGGCCTGGAATATGGCATGGGTGTGGGTGAGCGCTGCCCCCTCCCAGTAGAATGATGAAGCGGCGCGCTTGATCGATGTCACATAATTTCGGTACCAACAATTGAACTACCTTTCTAACTGCGTATCTACTAAATTGCGGGCTTGACGTGACAATAAGTAAAAGTAGAGAGATTCTGTTGACTTGGGCAATAAATAACTTGGCTCATGAGATAAGATATTTGTTCTCTAATACGTTCTGATGAAAATACCCCCGTACTAGACATAGAAACGCTCAGCCCTGATGGCCTCGTGCTGCTCTCGTAGCTCTCTGTGTTAAATGGCATCAATACTTGTTTCAGGATTCTAGATGTTTAGCATGCAAAGACGTAAAAACTCGTAGATAGTTTAGAATTCCTTGCGGAATAACAAAATTGTTTCCATGCTATTTAGTTCCACCTCGTGACAACTTGGAAGAATAATCTCCGGCGGAAGTCTATCCATCTTCCGCCCGATGAGCTCTACTATGGAGTTCCAAGAGAGCTGTCAGCCTACCTCTATTTCTCCTTTATCTCTCTATTCTTCATAGGAAATATGTCAAGTTCACGCATCAGAAGTAGATACAGAGATATATCAATCGTGTACAATTTATTAAGTCACAATACTCTAACGTTTCACTGTGTCAAGAGCTTTTCCTTGAACAGGTGAAACAACAAGAAAATTAAAGACCCAAGTACATATGCCACAGCCAAGAAACCAGTGATAATGACGATGGCCACGACGCTCGAAATCTGCAATGTCTGATTTCGATTCCCTTCATTGATGTTCCAATGTCCATCTGTCCCAGCTTGACCTGTTAAGTTCCGGTCCCCATGACTTTCGCTCGAATGTCCTTCTCCGGACTGGGCCACTGAATTGTCGTGTCCGTAGTTTGCTGCCTTGTTCCCCGGTGATACGGAACTAGAAATTTCGAGATATGGGGGTGGTGGGCTTTGTTTCTCTGAGGCCATTGTTGCGGAAAATAGATGTTTTGACGACTTCGTGTCTGGTAATATACACGTTAGACACTGATATATAGTAAGACAATCTCTTAGGGTTTATTACTTGGCTTGATGAATTAAGTAAAACTTCACTTACGAACGGAGTGCAACCTTCTGACATAGGAGGCAAGTCTCGTTATGTATATTGAGTGAGGCTTCGCATGAAAATCGGTCTGATATATAAAGACGAGAAGTGTTGGGGCTTCTTGGCTACCTCAGAAGAATGAACCGAAATTGAGTGAAATATAGGATATGCTTGTCGTATGTACACCTTAGATTCTTGGACAGATTATAGAAAGGTAGGGGCGGTAGAAATATGATATCTGATAACATTGTGTGATATATTTTGTGATTGGATTTAATGAGGAGTAGTGTAGCATTTGGCGCTTCCGATACACCTAACGGCATGGTTCATACTTGACTATGAATAATGTTGGTGCTTGTATGCTACTAGGGTGAGTCTCATAACTTGCTTTGGAGTTCGGCTAATATCGTATTGATGCTGTCGGCCCGGATCCTATGATCTAGGATTATCGGGAACTGGTTAGGAACTAACCGTTTCGGAGACCCCGGGCCAACAGAAAGCGGCGGGTTATCACGAGGTGGAACCAAACAGCATGGAAATAACTTCGTTATTCCGTAATTTACGAGATTCTATATTTTTACATACTAAACCTGCTCTTTATTCAAAATGTTTCATCTAGATTTCTAATATGGATGACGTAAAGATGGTTAACAATATCACCTCTCCATAGAGATGCTTGGTATTCATAGTCTAAATTAAAGAGAATATGCAATAATTTAAAGTGAAGGAATTATTCGCTTTTAAGGTAGTTTATGACAATATAAGACACTAATAAGACTCTTTATTAGATGGGCATGAGGGTAGAATTATAAATATTGTATTGCTAATGAGGTATTGTAAAGTGCGACTCTATGCTGAGCCGTTCAGACTTTCTAGTTGCCTGGAATGTATATAATTATATCTTCCGAGGATATCCGATATCCTGCTACATGGATCTAATTGACGTACTGGCCATAGGCCCAGGTCTTGAACATGCGTTGATATGAACGTATTAGAGGTACTTTGTTTCTACCGTCACTAATCTACATTCTATCATAAACATCCTCATCTTCGCCTTGCTGCCTGCCGTGAGCATTAGATCATCATCTAGAGTCTAAGGAAATTAACTCGACCGTTAGTTCTCTAAAACCTTCTCAGAGTTAAGAGAAATTATCTTCCAAAGGCCTCAGAAAGCTTGTGTTCGCTAATCGATACTACCTATTCCTAAAATGAAGTCTTCAGAGGCATTTTACAGTCAAAGCAGTTACCTCAAAATCGAATCGCCCCAAGGGAATTTCCCGGACAAGTATTGTATTCGATTATATTCGCCACTAGATTTCACTTCTACTGTAGATACTGGGGATACTATAGGGAAAAATCTGTGTACTAGAGTGCTTATTGTTCTGCTGTTCATAGTTAGTGGCTTCAGTTGTATTCATATAGAAGATGAAGAGATCGAGGTTGATTTCCGTTCGATTCTTGTCCTCCCACAAATACTACTCCTTCTTCTCTTATTTAGGGAAAGGACCTCAGAGAGCACGAGAAACATTACGAACATATACGGGGATAATAATACGATCCAACAAGCGATTGCTGTTAACTCTGTTTTGGCCCAAGCTACCATTCGTATCCCACCTCTGGGCCAAGGTATTTTGAATGTCCTACAGCAAACCACTCGGCTAGATTTATTAAGTAGTATATTATAGGTTACCCTCACCGTTCTAGTACTCACATTTCTACCACATCAGTAGACGACCTCAGATGTATGGCGAGCAGGTTTGATGGATCGAGGAAACAGAATCGACGAGGAGGTGGCACAATCTTCTAGCCTTCTAGTTTATGTAGGCGGACTTAGAGGCAGTTAGAAAACAGGGAAAAAGGTGACAGGGCACGAAACGTTTTCTAGATGGCTTCCGAACGTGAAGGTATGCAATCGGAGACTAACCACAGACTGTACTACGATACACAGCTAGCTAACGAGAAATTAGATCAAAAGAAATTCTGGAGGAGGTGGATAATAAAGTCAGATATCTCTAGACTAAGAAAGACATAAGTTGAGGGCAAAACTTACAATGGAAAAAAGGCCAAAAACTGTTCACACTCGCATCATTCATCCCTTCGCTCAATATACACACTCTCCTTTCATAACCTATATAGATACCTGATAGAAATAAGCAATAAATTTTTTAGATAGCACAGCCCGAGTGTTCGCGTTAGGTGCTATCTGACTATGTTGGATTTTCGGCGTGCTTTACGGAATCTAATGGGGATATATACTCCGTGAGTTGATGATGCCTAAGCAGACTGGAGCCCAAGTGCTCACCAAGGCTCTACCTAAAACAAGTAGACTCCTAGATAAATCAAGTGATATGTACAATGCTAATGATTCTAACCCTAACGCCCTTATTATGCGTCGCTTAGTATAAGTACAGCTCATATACAGATATACATGTCTTAACCTCCCCTTCTGATTCGCATCATCTACGAGTTTACAGTTCCCGCCTGCGCGCCTCCGCATCTAGAGTATCAACTTCGCCCCCTAGTGGCGCCATATCCGCTACTACCGCCTCCACCACACCCTCATCCGTAACCACACCGCTACTCGCATACGCAAACTCCTTCCTCTTCTGTGCAAAAGCAAGCAGCCGCACACAGCCTGCAGGCGTCATACCCTCAATCCGCCTAGCCTGACCGACGCTCTCGGGCTTTGCTTCGTTCAACGCCGCTCTCTCATGCGTGCTTAACCCCGCCACAGAGTCGTAGTCTAAATCTGCCGGTAGCCGAAGGCCCTCGTCGCGCAAGAACGCCGCACGTTCAGCTGCTTGTATATGGACGTATGGGGCATAGCGCGCCTCGATCTCCACGCGCGTGCGAACTCTCTCGCCGTGTCGTAGAATCTCCGGAACTTGTGCTGCAAGATCTCCAATCGAAACACCTGGAAGGCATAGGATATCTAGCGCATTGCGCTTTTTGCTATCGTTGCGGTTGGCGAAGCCGGCTGCGTTCCATGCTGGCGCGGTGAGTGCGTATTGTTCCAGAGCACGCGTCAGGTCGTCTATTTGCGCTTTCTCGTCCGTGTGCCGGGACCATCGGGTATCTGTTACGACGCCCCATTCGCGGCCCTTGGCTGTGAGTCGAAGATCCGCATTGTCGGCGCGTGTGCTCATGCGGTACTCGCTGCGGCTTGTGAACATGCGGTACGGCTCAGATACGCCTTTAGTGATCAGATCATCAATCATGATGCCGATGTATCCGTCAGCGCGCGTAATTGAGACCGGTTCTAACCCCTGAGCCGTGCGCCCTGCATTAATACCTGCGATAACGCCTTGGCCAGCCGCCTCCTCATAGCCCGTAGTGCCGTTGATTTGACCCGCGAGGAAGAGACCTGAGATAGCTTTGGTTTCGAGGGTCGACCTGAGACCGCGCGGGTCTACGTAATCATACTCGACACCGTAGCCAGCCTGAGTCATCTGAACGTTTTCAAGTCCGCGGATCGTACGTAGTAATTGCTCCTGTGCCTCGGCGGGGATTGTCATTGACAGACCATTTGGGTAGATAGTATCATTATTGAAGCCCTCCGGCTCTAGCCAGACGATATGTCTCTCTTTATGGCCGAATTTGATGACCTTAGACTCCAGCGATGGACAATACCGTGGACCCCTCACTGTCTCGCGGATGTGAACCGTCTTGTCTAAGTTAGCGCGTGCGATGTCATGGGATTTGTCATTTGTATAAGTGGCCCAGCAGAGAAGCTGGTCTTGCACCGATACCCTATCATCGAGGTAACTGAACGGTTCCGGTGGATCGTCTCCTCGCTGTTCTTCTAAAATATCGAAGTTGATACTTCCTTTATGTAAACGAGGAGGCGTACCGGTCTTTAGTCTACCAAGCTTAAAACCGGCATCTCTTAGAGATTTACTAAGACCAAACGTGGCCTTTTCGCCCATCCGCCCCGATGGGTAGACGTCCAGTCCGATATGTATTTCTCCACCTAGGAAAGTTCCGGTAGTAATAACAACGGCATTGGTAGGTAATACCTCGCCGGACTCGAGGCGTACGCCGGTGATTTTATTCTTGGGTGAACCGCTGGTAGGCTCTGCGCTTTCGCCTAGAACAATATCCGATACACTTCCCGTTATGATAGATAGATTCGGATACGACTGGAGCTCTTCACGCATGTGCTTTTTATACAGCGCTCGGTCAATCTGAGCTCGCGGTCCCCACACAGCCGGACCTTTCTTCCGGTTCAAGATTTTGAACTGGACGCCAGCTTTATCGATGATACGTCCAGAAACTCCATCCAGCGCATCAACCTCACGTATTATCGTTCCCTTTCCGATTCCGCCAAAACTAGGATTACACGAGCAGACGCCAAGGTTGTCAAGTTTAGGTGTAACCAGGGCCGTTCGCGCACCGCTTCGAGCAGCTGCAGCAGATGCTTCTGTTCCCGCATGACCCCCACCAACTACTATAACATCAAATGGTCTATATCTTAAAATTAGCTTACATTCATCTACATATTCAAGAATAGCTTCATATACAAACCTCGCGTCTTGAGCGACAGTGGCGAAATTACTCCGATGAAGACCTAATGAGGTTAAAGGTCTTCGAATCACACTATTGGGCCGGCTTAAGCCCCGAGGCCTCCAGGCTTTTCTCATACTCGTAATAATACGATATGATAAACAACGAACCCAATTTGTGAATTTTACACTTTCACGTCGTCGTCTTCGAATTTAAAATTTCTCGATAAGAAATGACGATAAGGAAAATAAACTTAGATCGGCAGGCGGTGTGGGGTACCTATGCGGCTGATTACCTATAGCAGGCGATGGGTCCCCTGCCGGATGAATAATCAGGTACCTTAAATCAACGCTTTCTATTCCGTACAAAGGTCTAGGGCAAAAGTCTTGCACATCTAGTCTTGGCAAGACACGTGTGAGTAAAAGCAGGACGCACAGTATTACTTAAACTATAGTGGCTAGTGTTGCTATAGATATAGTGGTAAGCCACCCAAATTTAGCGTATGGGCCACTATCCAAGTTTTAGTTTAGCACGTAGCCGATAGTTACAGTATTAATAGAAAGGGTAATGTTTGAGTTCTTTTATGCGTGTCATATGTTCCTGTACGGTAAGCAAGTCAAAATATTGAAAGGGGTTAAATTGGATGGGAAAATGGGAAAATGCTTTATTTTCTTTGCCGTGCCATATATGTACCAACGCGCTCATGCTAATCCAAAAATTCCATACCGATACATTTCCTTATCCGCCTGATACGACCTGTCATAATGTACACGATATGAACCACAAGAGAGGTTGGGCTTCTCTTTTAGGTACCAGGAACTTTTATAAAGTTTCACCATGATCGAAATATCATATAAACGGTTGTAATGTTTAATAAGCTACTTACCTTTGGATTTGCCTTTATTCTCAGACAAGATCCTGACCGCATCCTTACTGAACACATAGCTCAGACCGCTCCAAACAGTTGTAGTCGCAACCAAGTACCTGGGCTTAGTTAGAATGATAATAATCATCGAGACGGATTTACACGCGACTTATTGCCAATATAGAGAAAAGAAGAGCTGCTTACTGAAACGCCGTCATGGCCATTCCGACATCTGCGGTTAAAATAGGCGTCACCATTGTAGCTCCCATCAGCCCTAGCTGCAAGAATGTGTTGTACTTGCTAATAGTAGTAGGACGAACCTCGGCCGACGGTAGTGAGAAGTCCCAGTAGCGTGTGAAGGTCTTCGGTGGTGGGAGAGATATCCACCGGTAGTAAATGGCGGTGATGGCCAGGCCGACATCACGCCCGAGTATTATGACGGCTAGCCATGCTTTATTGATCGTATGTTAGCATATAAATCCCAATAAGACTTTAGCACGATAGTAGGCCGTAGATATAGCCTAGTTACATAACACCACTCATGAACACCACGCACATAAAACAGGAAAAGATACGAAAGATCAAGAAGAAAAACTCAAGTACATACCAGGCAGCGCCCCCTTGTAAGCAAGACACACAGTCAACACCGTCATGAGCATCTTATCCGCCATAGGATCTACCACACTCCCAACGACAGTCTGGAGCTTCCATCTGCGAGCGATCCAGCCATCCAAGAGATCCGAGAAGCCCGCGTAAGCAAAAAGGCCCAGAGCTAAAGTATGCGCATCGTGCACAATAGCGTAGCCGATGAAAGGCGCGGCGATAAGACGCGAAAACGTCAGCAGGTTCGGAACTGTGTAGATGTTCTCGTGCTGCGTCAACGCGGGTATTACTTTGGGAATAACTTTCCGGATTCCTCTAGGCTCCTCAGTGTTTGGTTTTGAAGATGTTTCGGGGGAAACTCTATGTCTAATATTAGCTTATACGCGCTATGACAGGGTTGACTCGTCAGTTTGGAGAGTTAAGGAAAGGCTATGGAGGATGTATGGGATTAAAAAAAGAAGTGAACCCATAATACAACTAGAAAGACTTACTGGTCCTTCCTCTTCGCGTTGTCTCGCTCCTCGAGAACCACGCTAGTCTGCGAAAAAGACCTACGCTCGGATCTAAACCAGAGATTAACTCTAGTATTGCTAGTCCCAGCCAAGATGAAACTTGAACGCGTAGCTTCATTCGGTCTTAACGGAAAAGTACGTATGCTATGCGCAGACCTCCATATAGCTGGAGTCACCCCAAGTCTCCCGGACGTCGCGGTCAGATCAGCGCATAGCAAGCTCACGCCTAGACTCGTCGATCCCAAACTCGGACACTTGCGAGAGGCGCGAGCGCCACCGCATATAGCCCGTGAAGTCATATCGAGCGTATCATATTATTCGCAACCGTAGTATACCCGAACCAAACCAATCGACTAACAGAAAAGACGCTATTTCATCCAACACAAGCTGCAATAGATGCTGGATCCAGTCTATCGAGATAACACCGACAACCACCGACTCAATAGTCCGAGAATGGCCGCGCTAAACAATATCCTTTTCACTAAAAAAATAAAATAGAGTCACTGAGATGGGTATCTTAGGTAGTTGTAGTTCGTAGGCTCGTAATCCAGCTCAAAAAGTAACTGGTTGAAAGGTAGTTGGAGTCCACAGTTTGAAAAAAGTGCCCGAGTTTACGAGGGATATTGTCTTAGGGTCTGGTTTACGAAGTAGGAAGTTCGTCTGTGCGCGAATTTTAGGCATTTTTATTGGGTGCATCCCTAAAATAAGTGGAATTTTCCAAAGTCCCCACTTTCATCTTTTTCTTAAAATACGTATCTTTTTGCTTCCGAATCCCTGGGTGCCGAGCCTTTCTTTTGAGTGGGTGAGGGTATCGAGGGCGAGGGTATCGAGGTCAGGGTGCCGAGCCCTCCTTTTGGGTGGGTGAGGGTATTGAGGGTGAAGGTTTCGAGGGTGTTATAGGTAAGGGCTTCGGGCCCTTTTCCTGGGTGACACGTTCTCCTTTTGGGTGCCGAGCCGTGGGTGAGGGTATCAAGGGTGAGTATATCGAGGTCAGGGTACCGAGCCCTTCTCTTGGGTGCCGAGTCTTCCTTTTGGGTGGGTGAGGGTATCAAGGATGAGGGTATCGAGGGTGAGGGTATCGAGGGTGAGGGTATCAAGGTCAGGGTGCCGAGCCCTTTTCTTGGGTGCCGAGTCCTCTTTCAAAATATTCAATATATTTAACTATATAACCTCTGTAAACTCGGGCTATTGTGGCAGCCCTCTGGGGTGCCCTCCAGTTGTATTCCAGTACCATGTACGAATCCGTAATTGGAGTTAAGCCATCCCCGCGACATCATTGGCTGCGAGGTGCCAAGAAATCCCATGTACCACAGCTGGTCTCCACCCATTAGAGCCGCGGCTTAGTAATAGAAATTCAATTGATAAGGCATCGTTCAAAGTCTACATCTTCATAGTTACGAAGTAAAGATGATAAAGCACTAATAATAAAAAACTAACCCAAAACCCTCTTTTAACTTGAGCTTATGTGAATATTATACCTAATTCTCCATAATACCATAATCATACGCTTCCATAGTTAAGTTTAGTCCCTAGACTTCCCCGTAAAATAATTAATCCTACCTCGTAACAAGAGAAGCATATTCAGCCCAAAAATCGTAAACTAACCTCTCCTGGCAACACCAAGTATGAAAGTAACTCTATTACCACAAAAATTTTATCTCCTAACCTAACTCTATCTACACAAAAAATGATGTTTTTATCATCTAAATACTTTCATGGCCTCATAATAGAGTTCTAAGCACCATATAAATAGGCAAGAAGGAAGAAATGATACACACATATATATATATAAACCATCTCGATCCTATTGTCTAGTTCTGTAATATTATTGATATCACAAACAACGAGTTCAAAAGGCTAGGTTGGATATACTGGCAAAATAGGGTTACCTCGCCGTATCGTTAAACTGGCCTTCAAGCCCTCATAAAACCATAAGTCTACTTACAAGTCAATAATATTACTCAAAATATATATGACATGGGCCTCGCTTTTATCTGTCTACTAACGAGAAAAAAAGACGACCTCAACCCCGAGCCGTCAGATGGATCTCTAATATAACGATTTATACCCAGACCAGGTCAGGCTTTTTCTAACCCGTTAAACACGCTAATCTGTTACTAAGTAACCCGAGAAATTAGAAAACAACGTATGTGTTCGGCGAGGAGCTCTAAGCCAGTTACGGGAGCCTACGGTTATATATATCTATAATCTCCTCTTTTATAGGTGTCTCATCTAGAACCCTGACATTATCACATATTATATGACATATTAGGTACGTAATTAACCATATAGAAACCCCTCAGCCTCAACGCCTGGGAGAATATATTCCGAGATAAGTGTTTTTATTGCTATGTATGTAATCAATGTTTTAGATACGGGGGAGTACCATCTGGCGATACCTGCCCAGGAATAAACACCTCTTGTATCAACAAGCCCAGACTTTTCCCTCCGAAACACTGCTGCCAGCATCAAATAAAAACTCCTGGTTTACTCTGGCAGAGTCAACCCCGATAAAGACATCACAAGTCTCGCACAATTGGTCCATGAACAAGTTCAGGCTCCAACGAAGAAAGTAACAATGAAGACAATAGGAAACAAGACGTTGAATGGTGATATTGTGCTATGGTCCGGTGGTAAATACGGGTAGTGGAATGTGAGAAGGGGAAAGAGAACAAATAAATCAAAAGGATCGCCACCTCTATACTAAGACCGGCTGGATTCGTATAAGTAGAAAATGGATTTCTACTTACGAGCCGCTCCAGCGGCAATTGAAATGCGATATGCGGTTGCGGTGGTAGAGAACCACAGGTATCAATTATCGAAAAGACGATATTCCCTGACTGCGCCGGACGCCAACGCTCTATGATTCTTCCTGATTGGACGCGGGCCCCAAGATCGTCGCTGAGCCTTTGCCTTCAAAACTCAAAACCCCGCTACTTGGAGCTGAAGTGCACAATAAGGTAATGCCGTGATAACGTTATGCTAGGAAGTAGGAATAGAAACGTGAGTGCTTTTTCACTGGTAAGGGGTGGTGTGCCCCAATACTAATGAATTAGTTCATCAGTTTCCGATCTCCATCTGGTATGTTCAACCGCCGTAGCGTTAACTGTAAGGTAGGAGTTCCTTCTGCATCCGCATCACCCTGCTCGTCCCTGTAAAGCATTAGAAGATTGTGCATGTAAAGTTGTTGTGGAATCTACTTACTGTTCATAGCTTTCATTTGGCATAAAGCCAGCAGCCCAGTCAGCATCCGTTATCGAGTTTGATGCAGGGTCTGCATTCCCAAGTCCAAGCTGCATGGCGGCGGATGTATCATCCTGACTGGCGGTAACTGAATTATGCCCACGGGGTTCCGGTAACGAGGTGCTGAAGTCCTGTGAGACATGATGAGGGGCTCTAGCATCGAAGCCATTCTCTACTTGGCCGTCGATTCCGGAAGACGTATTCATGGCGACGCTGCTATTATAAAGTCCACTATTTTGGTTGCCACTGTTATGATCATACGCATCACGGTGGTAACTGGAAGAAGTGCTCACAACGGCAGCGGCGGCGGCAGCGGTAGCTGATGTTTCGAACATAGCCCCATTTGCGTACGATGATTGGTTTGAAATACTCTGGCCTCCGAGACTACCGTCATTGCCGATGAGCTGAGTTGTGCTCATTGGGGTTCTATCAAGGTGCGAGAGTCCGGAATAGTCAATACTTCCGCTTGTTCCGTTCATAGTAGAGTGCCTTCGGGGCACTATAGCTAACTGCTGAGGATACGTCACAGGGGGCCGTTGAGCCATCCCGTATGAAATCGTAGCGTTGTGATCATAGTTGTTATATGAAGATGCCGAAGTGTAGGGCACCGGGGGTGGCAACGTTTGGCCTACACCGTACGGTGGAGCATATTGACTAGAGCCTGTCCAAGGTACCTGGTCAAAAGTATGCATGCTCGGCATCGAAAACGATCTTGATGCTCCGTTCATGCCGAAGCTGTTATATGATGGGTTCATAATGCCTCGGAAATGCGGTTCGGCCATCATGACTTCGTTATCATCTACGGGGGCCCGGAAACTACTCGACGATATTAGGGGCGCACGAGGAGCAATATCTCGTAGTACGGGATCTTGGCTTGGAGTTCGAAGCTTGTTCTGAATAACGTCCTCGATGCTGTAGTACGAAACTAGGTGGTGTTGTACGCCATTATAAGTAACACTGATGGTCTTTTTGATGAGTCCGTCGGGCCTGAACTGATACGAATCGATAAGAGAGCCGACAAGAGCTCGTTCAGCATCGTTACGTGCGCTTGTCGCGCTATCAAGGTTTGAAATAGAGGCACCTCCATCGATCATAGCGGTGGCATAATTGCCGACTGAGCTCGCCCTTGAGTGGCTAGTTGGTTTCGTGATCATCGAATCGTTCCTCTGTCGCTTCATAGCTCGTTTCTTCTCACCTGGCTGGAAGGGCTTGTCGAGCTCGCGATACAAGAGGAAGTTGCCCAGAATTCGACTGGGACTCCACGGGACGCCGTCAGTCCAGCGTTTTATTCCAGAGGAGTGCTCCTCATACATGAACACATTACCACTGGCGATGAGATCGGATCGCTCCCTGTCGTGGGGTCGTCTAGGTACATGGCTAAGACGACCACTAAGACACGCTTCAAATAATATGAGGGCGTCCATAGTACTTGCGATATAGCCAAAGAAAGTTGGGAGTAGAGGGCTCCCCCCACCCCCGGCGCGGTCAGCTCCCGACATGATGCCTCCAGTTGACATGATTGCCTTTATGATCCGGTGTAATCTGCAATAGGATTTGAGTCTCGTTAGCTGAAATGCAAGTGGCAGCTTAATAGAGGAAAGCTTTTCGTATAATAGTCAAAAGCAGTGTCAAGACGTGAAAGCAAACTATATCTCCGTAAAGATGTTCCAGCACGTGGGTTGCTTGGTCTGCGAAGTGTTTGTGGTACAGGACGCCTTGATAAAAAAGTAGATAGCGGTTGTCTACACCTTAAGACCTAGTCGCCTAGGAGAGTTAAGGTGTAGGCCGTGGAAGTAAGTGTATATAGGGAAACAAGGAAGAATCGCAAGCTTGAATGGAAAGCGAAGAGGGGTAAGAGTGTATGGTAGAATTCAATCTTACCTCGACTGAGTATTTATACTTTGTTGTGAGACCAGCATATAAACTTAGGTCGATAGAAAGGGTTACCAAATCTTAGCGATTGAGGAACTTAATCTGATATATATATCGTACAATCCCTCCGTTCTTGAACTAGAAATATGACTCTTCTTTCCTTATAACACAGCGTAAGATACTG